AGAATTTTGCTGAAATCTAAGAATTCTACATGCATTTCAATGGGGACAAAAAAAACGCAGAAAAAGCAGAATATCGCGAAAACTACAAAAAATATCTTTACCAAAAGACATAGCACAATTCTCCTGAACAAGCTGAACGTTTTGATACCAAAATTGTTGAAATCGGTTGAAAACTGCGGGACTAGTTAGAGTCAGAAAAATTTGAAGTGAACAACAATAAGTGGGAATGCATAAGCATTCCCACTTGATAATAATAAAGAGAAACAGAAAAACAATAAGTGGGAATGCATAAGCATTCCCACTTGATAATACTGAAGCTTGCAACATGATGTGAATACATGTTTGTGTTAACTGATTCATTAAACAGCTGCATCTTTCTCTAGTCAATGCACAGAGAAGTGTGTGATGAATAACTACTTTGGCATCGGACTGGACGCGAAAATTTCCCTCGAGTTCAACAACAAGAGAGACGAACATCCCAAGAAATGCAGGTAAGGACAGCAGCTAAGTAGGATTCTGGTGTGTAGTCAGCGTCTAATTAGAGGAAACCAGAACATTGTCTTCTGATGTCTAAATCTGCAGTAGTCGCACCAAAAACTTCATGTGGTACGGAGTCCTGGGGACCAAAGAGCTGGTCCAGAAGACTTACAAGAACCTGGAGCAGAGAGTCCAGCTGGAGGTCAGACAGACAAGCCTCTGAAAGTTTAATAGAGACAGTTTCCTCACGTTTCCTCTGACACACTAATTTACTCTTCTCTGTTTCGACAGTGCGACGGCGTTCCCATCTCCCTGCCGAGTCTGCAGGGTCTGGCTGTTCTCAACATTCCCAGCTATGCAGGAGGAATCAACTTCTGGGGAGGAACTAAAGAGGACAATGTGAGCACCGCTGAAAAACCATAACTTCTCATGTTAAGTGGAAGCAGACATGCTGAGAGAGGACATGCAGACACGGCACCTTTTTATGCTCTTCCTGTTGATATTAGGGGCAAAGTATTTATATAAAATGGATTTTATTCTTTACAACTTAAGGATCATACTTTACATATTATAACTGTTAGCTTATTTTAGTGCAGCTCAGAGTTACAGCTGCAAACATCTGTTTCTCCATGTGGAAATGAAAAGAAACAGAGAATTTAATTTCTCAGGTTTTAAAAAAGCATAAAGAAGGGAAAGAAATATGGAAAATTGTTTTTATTCCCAGAGAAGGACCACAAATGTTCTGTCCTTCCCTCCTCCCTTGTTTCCTTATATTATATCGTTCCTTCTTTCTTTTCTTTTTCTGCGTGCGCCATATCTTTCCCTTCTTTCTTGATACTCATTTAATTTCCATCCTTCCTTCCTTCCTTCCTTCCTGTTTTTTTATTATTGGGGTTCATACATGGCTGTCCACTGTAGGGACACTTGAGGTGATGCATAGTGGACTGAACCATTTGGTGTTTGAAATGGATTGTCCCAGACTGATTACATCAAACTATGTAGGAATCCTATTAATATGAAGAATAAAGACCCTTATTTTGATGTATAATGAATGAATGACATCAGCTATCCGGGTCATGGTGACTGTTAACTTTTAGATTAAGAGGAGAAATATATATTAGAAGGAGGCCAAGGAAGCCATCTTTAGAAAAAGAGAAACTGCCACAGTGGGAGAGGTCCGCTCTCAGCATCAATCAACCTGCTGTGAAACTCAGCCTACAAGCCGCCTCATCAGGACTTAGCAAAGGGAAACTATTAACTCCAACAATAGTCCTGCCAGCTTGAGAAACTCTGGTGATAAGCAGCAACTGTTGGTTCTTATAGTGATCGATTCATCTTTTAAATTATTTTTTTCCCCAATTAATCAATTAATCTAAAAAGATCAGTGAGTTAACATTTGGAAATAAACAAATGGCTGACCTATAGAAAAATATAACCTTTAAAAAATTGTTATCACTTTTAAATGGCCAAACATGTTAAAATGTACAATACTAAAACATGCATAATATTACATATAAAAAATGAATTTTTTTAAATCATAGATGGAAAATATTTAATTTGTTTGTAATTTTCAATTCTGTTATTTTTAATAATTAATCAAAATGAAGCTCGCCAAGTTGTATTCGATTCATGCAGATCATTTGGATTAATTATTATTAAATCAGTGAGGTCCGCCTTTGATTTTATTTTTGAAAACCTCATAGATACTGAAAGTAGTTCATTAACTAAGCTGAATTGTTTTTTTGCAGAACTTTGGAGCTCCGTCGTTTGATGATAAGAAGCTGGAGGTGGTGGCCGTGTTTGGCAGCATGCAGATGGCGGTGTCCAGAGTCATCAACCTGCAGCATCATCGCATCGCTCAGGTAACAGACGCTCAGGAGAAACATATCAGAAACCTTCCCGACGTTTCTCTTTTTTTTTATTTTTGTTAATTAGCTTTAAACAGGAAAAACTTTTGCATTTTATCAGCAAAAAGTTAAACTTTAAAGATCAATAAGTAAAAGAACAGAAGTGAATCATTAAAATTTACAATATAGTGTCCGTCTCAATCGGTTAGACAAACAATTAACTAATGAAGCTTTCAGTGGAAGTTGTTCATCTGTGAAAAAAACAATCACTATTATAGCAGGTGTTTAATGAAACGGATGAACGTCCCTCTAATAGCTTTCTGCTGTTTGTGGCTCTCAGTGCCGACAGGTGAAGATCACCATCCTGGGGGAGGAGGGCGTCCCCGTGCAGGTGGACGGCGAAGCCTGGATCCAGCCTCCCGGCATCGTGGAGATCGTGCACAAGAACCGTGCTCAGATGCTCACGAGAGACAGGGTGAGATCAAACACCCATATATGCTGAAGAATGTGCACCTTTTCAGTTCACGTGTTCCAGTAAAGACAGGTTGGCAGACCGTGGCGTGAAATGTCATGAGAGCTGCAGCTGAGTGTCCTCTGGAGCTTTCTGGCTGCAGCCCTCTGTTCACGTTGTTGACTCTTTCTATTTTAAGACTTCTTAAATCAAATCCATCCCCTCTGTGTTTGCTCACTCCTTCATGGTGCTCAAAGCTTTGAGAGCTCTCTTGAGCTGAGCGTGTTTGGGCAGTTTGTTTCCATGGTTTCCTTCGCCCAGTGAACACTGTCTGCTCCTTTTAAACATGGCCTTCTTTCAATAAACTAATGACGCTTAACTCTGGATAATAACAGGTTTTTAATTTAATATTAAAACGCAAACATTTGAATCAGTAAGGAGATAAAAAAAAAAACACCAACGTTGTTTTCTGCTTCCTGATTTGTTTATTAAGTTCACATTTATGACTTTTCAAATATATTTTTTTCTGTTTAGCATTTTGTAAAGCTTTCATGAAGTGTCTGACGTTTGTTTCCATCCCATCAGGCATTTGAAAGCACGCTGAAGTCATGGGAGGATAAGAGAAAGATTGACAGCTACCGCGCCGCCAGGCCCCGCCTCAACTCCCAGCAGTCCATGGAGTACCTCACTGAGGAGGAGTGCGCTCAGGTGCAGCAGCTGGGCATTGTGGCTGATACCCTCATAAATAAGTACGTCACCGCTCCTTATACCAGCTATAAATACATAAATGCTACATATGTAGTTAAATTGTCTTTCTTATTTTTTTTACGTTTAAAGGAATAGTACACCCAAAACATGATTAGCCTTCATTTTCTACTCACCCCCATGCTGAACAACACTCTGGAGTACTTT